CCCCCACTTCCATGGGTCAGCCACAACTGCCATGTTCTTCCAAAAAACATGTCTGTCAAAGAATCAACAATAGAAGAGAAACTCATGAAAATGCAGTTACACAACTTTGCACTCAGAGAAAATTTATGCACACTGAATAAAATCAACATTCCAAGCATGAACCACCTTCGAATTTGTAACAGTTACCTCTTCAATCATAAGTTCAGTATGTCGTCCGTCCTGTGAAAAGTTTTCTTTTGCGAGAAAGATGAGTATTCGATCACTCAGGGGTACTGGTCTACAAGAATGCCTTTGGCGTGGGTCGATACAGCATTCCTTAGATTGCGTAGATTCTCAAATGCTGTCCACTCAACTGGTCATTCTACGAACCCAAAGGATGAAAATCTAGCGTGTTGGGGTCGGGGTTGTGGGGTCCCCAAACACGAGCTTGACGACGTCCGACGACTCTCTTGTAAAAGAGATCTTCAGTCCACCGAAGAATTTTTCCCGCTGTATGAGATGTAGCGCCATCTTGTTGGAAGCTTTGTTTCATAATAATAATAATAATTGCTTTTATAAAGCGCATATCCATGCTTAACACTATGCTCTAGCAGTTTACAACAAGGTTTACCCCAGCAGACCCTAGAATTCTCAGAAACATTCTTGGCTTCCCGGGAAGTAAACGGTGCAAGCTGCGAATTGCACGCGCTTAAATTCTAACAAACTGACAATATCTTTCGCTCTCTATAACTGGATACCGATTACTCCCTTTGTGAAGTGAGGAAAATTTGTGTAAAGTGCCTTTCTCAAGGATACAACGTCTAGTCCCAAACGAGATTCCAACCCATAACCTTACGATTGCGATTGCGAGAGCTTAACCTGAAGCTCCAGCTATTTTAGGGACCTATTTTGTGACAGAATTTAACGCAAACGCCTTTTTCCGTTTCGCTCCATTTCATAGTGACCGTTAATTGTAAGATTTAAAAAGTGTTTTATTTAATGTGCATATATTGTTCATCGAGCTTCAGATCAATTATGGTAAAGATTTTCCGTCAACCGCTCGACTTATGGAGATTTTTGTGGTTGTCAGGTTTTTTGGAACACCTAGTACAAACAATCTCCCATATTTCCCTCATTTGAAGCAAATGAGCAGTAGCTGATAAAGTTGATTTACAATTACCTCAAACCTTTCTCTTTCTTTCCGGCGAAAAGTGGCCGTTATCACAGCGAAACTAGGAAAAACTCCTCCTGAACTTTATTTCTGTTCACCGATTACCACTCGCCCCCC